GGAGATGGGGAGCGGCAGACCGATTCACGCAAAGTACGTGTCTGATGTGCTGCTGCCAAAGACCTTGGCAGCGGAATTGTTTCTGCGGACGCAGCCCGTATGAGCGGGATACCCCCCGACACCTCCCTTAAACCTTTCCCGTTGACATTGCCGACGTAGCATCCTTTTAATAGTGACTTGGGTGGGGATAGGTTCCCTGGTGCACCTGCTGAAGCTGCTGTCACTCCTTCCGTGCACCGTGTCCCGGGTGGTGGAAGGAGGTCACCCCTCTAAATACAGAAACAGCTGTGCCAGAATCCTCTAGATTGCCTTGGGCGCAGCCCCACGCGTGTGCAGGCAGGAAGAGGGCCTACAACACCCACGGTTCTGCAGCAGGCTGGGGAATCACGTGTGGCTCAACATGCGTAGGCTTCCACCGCGATTCATTTTCCTCGCCTTTTCTGATCCTGCTCCACCGCTGTCCAGCCTGCGATTTTGGGCCACCTGTGCTGATGACGACTGGACAATACTAACCAGCCCTCTTACGTTTTGACCTTTCAGGGAGATGCTGGCAGTCCCGTCATTCGTGAGGCCGACGCCAGGAAGGAGCTGCGTGGAAGCGTAAGCGGGGCGCTAGCTGTGCCGAGGAGAAATCCGGAGTCCAATCGAGCGTCCCACGGGTCGAATCGCACGTGAACGGGGCCCACTTCAGGACCCACCGCCCTCCTGAATGAACACGGGGACTTTCTTTGCAGGCTGCTGGACGACACCTTGAAAGTGAGCAAATGAACGTCATGGTGTCGAGCCAGTTTTGGAGCCAATCTTTCTTCGGTGGTTATTTTTGCAGCTTCTCCTGTCATTCTGTCTGGGGTGAAAATCTTCAGCTGTCGCTGAAACAAAACTTGTCCCACTGAAAAACAGGACCGTATCTAAAATTGGAATGGGTGCTGCTATGTCGGTCCATCCGATGTGTGCCACTGTCTCTCTAGAAATTAGTGTTAAATCATGGTGTTAGGTTTTCTGGTGAGTCCTAAAATGAGCTATGAACTCGCTCAGCTTGGAGCCACCCGGAAAAACAAAGGCCCACGTAGGACGTAAGGATGCGGTCTGAGCTGGTGTAACTAGAGCTTCACTGGAACGGCCGAGCTTCATGAGATTAGAGGGCCGTGCCCTTGGCATGAGGTTCTGTCATTCTCAGGGATGTCCTGCCTTTGCCCCTATGTCTGAAAGCCACTGCACGAACCGTCACTGAGCCTGCAGAGTTGTATACCTTCACACTGTGAGCTTGGGTGGCCTTTGGCAGACGTGGGGCAGGGGTGACTCCTCACAATGAAATTGTAAATTCATTGTTGCTAAACATTTCCTTTTCAAATAAGCTTTTATTGATTGAACTTGTAATATATCTTTGGGGCTGGATGGCTCCTTGTTAGTTAATGATTTTATTTTAACCTCTTCCTCCTAAACTGTAAGTATAAAAAGTCAGTTCAGTATCACACCACTGCCGACTTCCCTTGCTTTATTTTGCACTGGATTCAGGAGTTTACTGTCACCTTGTGATTTAAGACTCATCCCCCTGCTGTAAACTGCGGATTCCCTGTGTGCTATGCTTTGCTGATTCTGAACCCCTCCTCATTTTCATGCTCTCACCTGCCGGGCTCCTATTGTGTTGACTTTGCCGCGTCAGCTCTGTGACATGTTCTGACTGCCTCACGGCAAGAAAGGGCACTAGCCGGAGGAAGGGGCCTTCCTGCCCTTCCCTTTCGTTGCCCGCTG